ACACTTAATTTACCCTGATCCAGACAGGCACACTTAATTTACCCTGATCCACTTCCTTTACCCCGATCCTTTGTGCTGTCCAGACTCTCTCCAGCTGCGTACTACGCCCAGAGGATGATCCAGTACCTGTCGAGGAGGGACAGTATTCGTCAGCGTTCTCTTCGCTACCAGCAGAACCGCCTTCGGGCGATGTCATCTTCCTCCGACAGTCCTGCCAGTAACCCGTCCGGCTCCATGGACAACAGTGACGCGGACTTTGAGGAGCTGGAGTGAGTTCTTAAAATGGGTTAAACTAGACATTATGAAGACTTCCACATCAAGATAAATGATTATAATATGTAGTTCCAGTAACCTGATGAAACGTTGTCACTAACTATCTCTGAATGTCGACATGTTAGTTTTATTGTCTTGTAGTGGAAACAAACTGTTTCCTGTCATACATCCTGTATCTTCTGTGATCGTAAACATCTTCTCCTTCCAGTGATAACGGAGACCGAGCGAGACACAGGACGACCCGTAACGCCAGGATGTCTGCGCCTTCTCTGGGTCGCTTTGTCCCGCGGTGAGACGCTCTAATCTAACATTACCACTATTACTACTATAAACTTTATGTTTTAGTTTTAATGTGGATTCAATGTGCGGAATTTAAACACACAAGTCATGAACCATTTCTAGTCCAGGTGTGCTTTTAAAGGAAAAGTGTGTAAGATTTAGAGGCATCTAGTGGAGAGTAAACAACAACAACCCTCAGTTCAGAGTGTCTGAGATGGCCTGCAGGTTTGAGTGTTTATACACTGATTAAAACATAGTTATGAATATTAGATTCCATCGCTGCCAATAAACCCCATAAGTGTGACACACTGTCCCTTTAACCCTTTGGTCCTCCAGGCGGTTCCTCCTCCCTGAGTACCTGCCCTACGCTGGGATCTTCCATGAGAGAGGGCAGCCTGGCCTGGCAACACACTCGTCTGTCAACAGAGTGCTCGCTGGTAAACAAGTCAAAGCTTCATGTGTTGAAGCTGCATTCTCTCTAGTGTCCACCAGGGGGCGACTCCTCTGGTTGTATAGAAGTCTATGAGAAAATGACTCTACTTCTCTCTTGATTTATTACCTCAGTAAACATTGTAAACATGAGTTTATGGTCTCAATCTCTAGTTTCAAGTCTTCTTCAATACAGCATGATGTTCATTTAGTACATTATGGTCCATTTAGAGTCAAACAGACCATAAAGCAGGGGATGCTTTAGATTTAGTGATTGACAGGTCGACACCAGAGACGTATACGGCATCTCCACGTCACTCCTCAGTCCAGATATGGTCACTTCCTGTTAACTAGTTGCTAAAAGAACAAGATGGCGACCCCAATGAGCTTCCCAGTGTTCAACTTGACTGTTGTTTTTTCAGGTGCGTCGATCGGGGACGGTCAGTCTGCGGTTGCTAGCAACATCGCTAACACCACCTACCGTCTGCAGTGGTGGGACTTCACCAAGTTTGATCTGCCGGAGATCAGCAACGGTACGACAGCGACTCCTCAAACTACACTTCTTCACTTGTTCCTGTAGTCTGAGACCTGATGCAGCTTTACTGACATTTAACTTACATTTAGCGGTTAGCGGTTAGCCACTGAAGTTATTCATAGTTTTAAATCCTATGTATCTCCATTTGTTCTTAATTTAGTGGCAGCAGTGTTGTCTAGAAACAGGAAGTGTTAAAAATCTACAATAGAGTAAATATTTAGCAGCCAAGTGAAACAGTTTACGGGATGTTCAGCCGTAGTTCCTTTATAAAACATTTAATACTTGACGTGTTTCTTTACAGGATTTGTATGAAGGAGATAAAGTAGTCCATGAATATGAAATATGAGTTTACAGATAATAACAATCCCTCCTCTCTACAGTGGAGGTTAGTTTCTGGTGTTTATCCTCCTGCCAGAGAGGAGACCTCTGACATCTGGTCAGCATCTGTAGCATGTTGGTCTGCATCTCTACTTTCTACTGGATGATGAAGATGATGTTGTTTATTTGTCTCCTCTGCAGCTTCGGTTAACGTCCTGGTGCCAAACTGTAAAATCTACAACGACGCCAGTTGCGACATCTCTGCGGACGGCCAGCTGCTGGCGGTCTTCATTCCCAGCAGCCAGCGGGGTTTCCCAGACGAGGGCATCCTGGCCATCTACTCTCTGGCTCCACACAACCTGGGAGAGATGCTCTACACCAAGAGATTCGGTACGGAGTCCTGATCATACAGACGCTGTTGATTGATTACTGATCAAAGATGGATGCCTCCTGTGTCGGAGGACAATCGTGATTTCTTTGTTTTTTACCCGGTGGACAGGTCCCAATGCTATCTCCGTTAGCTTGTCTCCGATGGGATGCTACGTGATGGTGGGTCTGGCCTCTCGTAGGATCCTGCTGCATCCCACCACCGACCACATGGTGGCGCAAGTCTTCCGCCTGCAGCAGCCTCACGGAGGAGAGACCTCCATCAGGGTGAGACGGGGTTTGCAATCTGTAAGGCAGTACTACTGAGTACTTCTAAAACTAATGTGTACTAAACACCGGCACTCATAATACTGCAATACAGAAATATAGAGTACTCTGAACGTTTCTTCCTCATTGCACATTAAACAAGGAAACGTCTGTACTTCCTAACAACAGAAAGGTAAAGACAAAGGTTTTATTGACTGCGTCCATTAAAGCGTGTTTAGCTCTCGTTCAGTACTGGACCAGTTTAGAGTCTGTTGTCTTCATTAAGTCACTCAGAGACAAATACTGGTTACCCTGAAAGCATCTTGCTTTTGTTTATTATTTATTCTGTTTATTTGATATCAATAAAAAGCACGGTCTAAATCTGCTCTTTACTAAAATAACAGAAGTCGTTTGGTACGATGTCAATAACAGGACTATTGATACAGATAATACAAGTTAACTTCAGTCTGATCTTTATGAATTCAGTGATTCATCTCAGTTTAACAGAAAACTCCTTTTGAATGAAGACCTCTTAGTTTCTAGTCTTTTTATCATCAGTGACGTCTGCTGTAATTAATCAGATTCATATAATAATATCTGTCCGTGTGATCCAGATGGTGTTCAACGTGGTCTATCCGATGGCTCCGGACCAGAGGCGCCACGTCAGCATCAACTCGGCCCGCTGGCTGCCGGACCCGGGGATGGGTCTGGCTTATGGGACCAACAAGGGGGACCTGGTCATCTGCAGACCTGTGTGAGTCCTCTTTAGTCCTCTTTAGTTCTGATGCAGACCTGTGTGAGTCCTCTTTAGTCCTGATATAAAATCTATGAAAGAACTACAGATCAGAGTTCATAGAAGAGGAACACGGAACCTTCAACATGTGCAGTCTGCTTGTGTGGAAGAATGGATTAGAACCACACCTGAGCAATGCCTGCGGCTAGTTTCTCCAAACAGGAAGCTGTCATCACCAACAAAGGCTTCTGTACGAAGTATTAGATATATTTCAGTGAGCGTGTTCAATACTGTTCCCTGTGTCATTCCATCTTATTACTCGTAACTTCATTTATGAACTCATTAGTCTGGTGTTCTTTGTATGTGTGGATTACTTTGCTTGTTACTGACATCTAGTGAAGAGTTCATGTCAACATCACCTTCAGAAATATATTGACTGAGAACAATGGTGACGTGTTCAACACTTATTTTACCCGCTGTGTATGTATATCTATCTATCTATATATATATATCTATTATATATCTATATATATATATATATGGATATATATCTATCAT